TCAGCAGGTGGAGAGTAAGTGAAATGCAGAGAGGCAATTACATGACAATGTGCGAGGCCTCCTACCCTGGTCTTTAGAGTTCTGATCAGCTGCAAGAGAGCGTCTATTTTGATTAGTTAGATGAGGCTGCAGCCAAAGGCTGGTGTGCTCCCTGCGTACCAGCAGCGAATCGTTTTGAATGACATGAGCCTTGGTACCACAGAGTACTTTCTTGGAACTGAAGCTGGAACAGACTTCTTGAAAGAGAGCGAGCTGTTGGAGTCAGGAAGCAGCTTGCAGAGCTGTTAGCGAGCTTGGCCGGCTTCCCACAAGATTATCTGTATCAGCACTGAAGAGGGTGTGAGATTGATTAGCACTGACGGAGAGTAATCGCTGCAGCCGCTGTCCCCGCGCGGGCGGGCCCAGCGTGCCACGGGCTGCAGCCCCCCGCCAGGCTCCAACAAACAGCTGTCTGCCCGCAGCCAAGGCCACTTCTCTGGGTGCTGGCAAACATTCCGAGGGCATTGGAGCTCAGCAGCGCTGCGGCTGCTCAAAAAGGCACAGGGGCGAGTGATGAATGGAGTTGCTTTTGCTGCCAGCGTTCGGGCTCCATGTGGACAGCTGCAGCTTCACAAATGAACAGTGGCCTGAAGAAAAACAGCCTTTACCCTTTCCTGCCATCCCTCCGCACTCCATTCATCCTCCTCGGAACAGAGCAAGAAATTATTTATTCTTTACGTTTCAGTGTTGGTGTGTGGATTTTAGAACTCAGAAAACAGAATGGATTTTTCTGGCTGAAGTCTGGTGGTGTATGGGCAGCTGCTACACAGAGCCCTTAAATGCAGCATGCAGAGCTAGTGCATGTGCCCTTTATCCAAAAAGATCCTGAAGCAGTCTGCAAATGCTAACACCTGTAGCAAGGAGCCAGCACAAAGCAGGAGCAAAGGGAATTTGAGTGTGAAGCAGCTTGTGTAGAAGCTCTTTAATTAATAATATGAACCCATTCATGTTTACTGATGTACAAGAGAAGAGAATCCAAAGAACCCTAGGTTTTCCTCCCGTATCCAGAAGGCCACTGTGCTTTTGCCCTGCTGCAGGGCTCTGTACGCTGGAATGGCTAGAATAAATGGATCTCAATTCTTCACTCCTATTAGAGCTAATAATAGGATTTGGCAGAAACATCTCATGTGCAATATATTGGGCACAAGGTGTACGAAATACGAGGTTGAGGTACATTCCTAGCTTGGAACACTCTGGAGTTATCGTTTGCTTTGTTTTGTAGCGTCCTCAAATGGTCAGTGGGAAACGGTCTGCTGAGGTCTGCAGTGGCCATGCAGAAGCAGGCAAAAGCCATCGTTCTCTTCATCAACTCACGGCATTGTCTGGCTGTGACAGGATTTATGGAGCACTTTAATGTTTCTAGTTGTGGCCCATGAATCATTGAAGTGGATGGTACGAACACTTGGTCCTTTAGAAACTGTGCAATGTCACTTGGGGGCTTTTGACCTTCCTCTTGCAGTAGAGGACATAGTACCCCCAAAATCTGGTATACAAAGCCTCGCCTTTCTCCTTGCCCCAAAGAAAAATGATACCTGATGAGATTTTACAGGTTCAGCCTATACCGATGAGAGCAAGATCCAAGTCTGATGGACAGAGTATCCTGGAGTAAGTCTTGCGTTACAAGAAGTTAAGACGTGGTTATACAAGGCACGACTGAAGGTATCATACCTGATGTTTTATCTTTAGTAGTGCAGCTGGCATAAGAAGCTCCTGCTCTTGCAGTTCTCTTCCGTCTTCTTTCTTTTGGTTTGGCTTATTTTAGCGATCTGGTTTATAGCCCAGCTCTCCAGCCTGTGGTGGTAAAGGTGTGGCAATAGTTGAGGGTAGAAGGGAGGGAGGAATTTCTGGAGGCAGCTGTTTCTGAGGAAGAAGGGTTGTAATGAAACTGGGCCCTTAGTCGGGACAATGAAACGGGGTGAGGTCCGGAGGGGAGCTTCCCTTCTCCCTGTTACCCACTTGTTTGCTTCTGCGCAATCTATTCAGAAGGGATCAGAGGTGATAACTTAGCGATTACCCTAATTGCCATGTGAAACCCAGGAGCAAAGTCCACGTAGGCATTTGTCTCCAACACCTGATGCCTGTCTTAGCACTTTTCTCAGAGGTTTTAGTTAATGGAACCTAGAAAATGTCTTGTCCCCCTCTCAAATTCTGTAATTCTTTCTGTAGGAAATGGTGCAAAACCCTATGGCTTTTAACTCCCTCTAAAATGAGGCATAATTACGGGTGACAGCAATAGCCTTAGTGATCTCTAAAAATGGTAGGAAAAGACAGGTGATGGTTTAATATTTTTATAGTACCACAGAAAATTATGCTCAGCAGGTTTATTCGATAAAATATTCTCACCAGACACTTTGCGCTATAATGACTTACAAATTACATGCTAATTGTGCTACAGTTAAGTCATTCCATCCTTGAAAGGGAGAGGTGGAACTCCTGGCATGAGAGCAGTGTCCACAGATCGAATAACTGAACCAGGAATTTGTGTCAGCCCAGCACTTCGGTTCGGTTTAGAAAGACCGAATTGCCCGGAGTTGTACCGAGGGCAGGACGTAGCGTCCTGGCAGGGGCCGCGTTGGTGCGAGTGGAAAGAACGCGGCTGTGGTCACGGGAGGGCGTGCGCGTTCTGGAGCGTGGCCGAATTTGCGCTGTCTGTACCGCGAGCTTGTCCAGCAAACGGCCAGCAAGCTGCGGTACGCTTCGAACTTTCTTGCTAAGACTGGTGGGTCTTCAGGCGCGTGGCTGCCCTAGCATCGTTCCCGTTTCTGGCTGCTGGAGTTGAGCTCACGCTTTTGCAGGAGCTGCTGCTGTTTCTCCGGACTCGGAAGGGGTGGTACGCTTTTGTCGTGGTTTAACCCCAGCCAGCAACTAAGCACCACGCAGCCGCTCGCTCACTCCCCACCAGTGGGATGGGGGAGAGAATCAGAAGGGTAAAAGGGAGAAAACTCGTGGGTTGAGATAAGAACAGTTTAATAATTGAAGTAAAATAAATTAGAACAGTTAAATA